CGTCAACAAAAAATTCCGCCGTGGGCCAACCCATCCGCGAGTTGCACACTCTTGTTTATCTACTCTTGGTATTACCGTACTGGCAATATATGTTGCCGCAGTGAGGCCATGAAGCGTTACATTGGCACATGTTTGCCGCACGCAGGGCGTTACATGCAAAGTCGCACAGGAGCCGTTACACAGGTTTCTATATTGCCGCAGTCCTTTTTTTGCTATTGCCGCATCACTTTTTTGCTATTGCCGCATCATTTTTTTGCTTTTGCCGCATCATTTTTTCTTCTGCAGTGCAAACTGCAATGAAAAGATTGCCGCACCCCGCCGGACGCGCGTTACGAACTCAACGAAAATTTGTCGCACTAGCCTGGTCGCGCGTTACGCCGCACCCCCCTGCGTTACGCGTTACGCGGCAACATATATTGCCAGTACGGTAGTTACAAGTACAAAACAAGCACCGGTACCGGTAGTTTCACACGCTTCGGAGATGTGTTTTGTTTTTAATTTTTTTAGTCATGCACATCCTGAGTATTTTATTCATAATTTATAATTATGGTGGTAAACACGCACCTGGCAATAATTATGCGGAGATGTGTTGGAGCTAGGTACGTAACATGTACTACTAGGTGCCAGGTAGTCGAATGTATCAGTACAGTACACACGTGCGTGTTCCAAATGTACTACTTCAATAAAAGTAGCGCTATCGACACTTTTCCGATGGTGGTTGTTTTAGTCAGAAACTACAGTGATATACTACGAAGTACGCACTGTGATATGCTGAAGAATTATCAGTTCATCACCAAGGAGAATCAATAGTACTAGTAATATGAGTGCACGGGTTGCTTCAGTAAAAGCGTTGTTGAAGCGCTCTGCAGTGTTCCCAAACGTTTCTGCTTGTTGTGGTGCCCTACCACATGTACGTCGTGTACGTGTGTATGTCTTTTGAGTTTCATAGCATGAGCCATTGCCTCTCGTTACATACTAGAAGCCACTTGAGGAAGCTACTGTACCCAGTCGGGTACCAGAAAAATCGTTGATGTGCGGTAGGGCTTTGCCAATGGTTCATGATCTGAGTGGAAAGAAGTGATATCTCCCCGGGTCTAGGTGTCATACGCCTGAATCCATCACAATGCAAAGAACGAGCAAGAAGCGGAAGAATAAAGGCAAACAGGAGGCTTCTGCCGATGTGGACCCAAGTTCAACGGAATCGGTACGTGAATATCGCCTGGAGAAGTTTGAGAAGTCCTGCAGGTCAGTGCAGTCCGTGTTCCCAGCTTGCAAGCAACGAGACGAGGAATTCCTGGGCTTCCGTTTCCAAAAAAATTCCAGAATCCGGCTGGGGTATTTGCGACATCGCTATAGTCTGCACAATTCAGGCCTGCACAGTGGCCTGACGGATGAGGCTGAGCAACAACACCAAGGTCAGAGTAGTAACTACAGGACACATATTCCTGGGTTCTTCAAGTTCAAGGTTGACGGCAAGACACTGGGACCAGCCACTTTCATAAAGGTCTTACAGCACAGACTATCGACCTTCGATGGCCTTTTTCAGGAAGTTTTCGGTGATGAGCCGAGTGGAGGCCATGTGAAAGTACCCGCACAATCTCATGACGTATTAGTTTTGGGGAAGTATCCTCTGGAAGAGCATGACGTACAAAAAGGGTTTGGATTCATGGCACAGTTCTGGTATGTATTTCACAGGCTGCAAGACATTATTGATAACATTGCAGCTCATGTACCTGGCTCCAGGAAACATCTCTGTCAAATTGCTTCAATGGAAATGGTTGGGGTCTTGGAAATGTACTGTTCCTGCTATGATGGTGATCTGCTACTGTTGAAGAGTGAGGAAGGAGGTGAGCATACAGATTTGAAAGAATTCAGTGTGGCATCTTCAGATCTCTTCCGTGCCAGTGAGTTTTTACCATTCTTTCATGATGCATACACAATACTGGCTCAATTTTTCCTCATCGTGGATATGTGTGTTGGCAAAGAAGTGAGTAGTAGTGCTGTGTCTCGTAGTAGTGATGAGTGGAGGTCTGTTGTGTTGGAGGCAGAGAGAACGTTCAATCCATCTTTCTACAAATGTGATGTGAATGAGTTTCGTCGTCGAGTTGTAAAACCTGCACCACTACAATGCCCACACAGTCAGCCATTGAAGACAGAGAGTCAGCCCATGTCAGTGAAGCCACCACCACCACCACCACCACCACCACCATGTATCCGTACCCACTATATCTGTAGTGCACTGCTGCTGCAGAACCTTGACAAGATGCACAGCATGAGTCAGTGCTGTATCAGTGCTGTGGCACTGAGCGAAGAATCGGGAAGGTTCCAGAAGAGCAAATTCTCAAAACCAATAAGCATAGTGCATCGTCTCTGCATGGATACTTCTGTGATGTTCTATGCTGTTTTCAGGCGTATTTTCATTCTTTGTGATCTAGGGTATTACACTGAATCGTGTCAGTTGCGAAAATTCACATCGTCCTCAAGTGGTCGTGATGAAGTTCATAACGCTTATAGCCTTCTCTATATGCTTTGCTCCCATGACAAGGACTGGTGGATGGTAGCTGGAGATTTAGATAATTTTTTACTTAGATGGGTGAGTGTGATGGTGGACACTATTGTGAAGATTAGATCATATGTAGAGCATGACATTGCAGAGTATTCGAGAATTCTTGGCAACTGCAAAGCTATGTTACCAGCTGACCACAGCTCCGTAGAAAGTTATTTGAAACATGTCGAAGAAGCTGTCCGAAGGCAGGCTGCACCATTCCATCCACAGCATGAGACAACTGCAACTGTATCTAGTTGTTCGCCGAGAGCGGAGTCTACATCATCTAAATGTGCATCTTCGTATGCTGCTTCTGCTGATGCCGCTGCGGAATTTTGCCGACTTTACATGGCTGAGAAACTGAGCTTGGATTCTACAAGTACACCGTTGGACAAAGAATCTGAAAGTGTTACTGCGGAGCAGAGCGAGTGCTCTGTAGCCACTGCACATGCATCAGTTCCCTATCGTGAACGATTGAGGAAATATTTTTCCAGTTCACACTGAATAAGTCAGTATCCGATTACCCACTTGTCTGGGATAGTCTGTGGAACATGCTGACGACCCTCTCACTTCTCCATTTACTTTTTAGACTAAACATGCACTCTTTACTCAAATCATGCACTGTTGTCTTGTGTCTAGTTTTCAGTCATCCAATTCACAATTATTGCCTCAGTGTCTGCATGGTACTCAAAGTGTTGACGTGTACAATCATGTACAGTCAGTATTTAAAATTATGCCTGCACAGTCATTTACTTGTAGTCTGGTACTGTCTGAGCCTTCGCCTTGCTATGTGCATGAAACCCAGCGTCACTGTGTTGCAAAACAGTATTGCGAGTATTATTTATGCATGTTGTTGTATTTGGTTCTTGTTTCGTAGAGTCCAGTGTCTGTATGATGAATGACCTAGCCGCCTTTACTTCTGTTCTCTTCTGCCTTTGTCACACTGAGTTTGTGGCAATGGTCCATCCTTGTGGTGTTGTGCGGCACTCTTGGAACAGGATTGAAACAATTCTTTATAGTTAGAACCTGATTTGAAATTGCAGGTATTTTCGGGTGCATTTTGCACAAAACACATCTCGTGAGCGTTTTGTCTGTGCTGTTGTATTGTTTACTAACTGAATGTTGTAGTTTTGTTTCCAGATCCCTGAGTGGTAATTTCTGCGGTCAAGCCAAGCCAACTGAATAGGTTGGCTGGGTTTTCTTTTGAGGGTGCTTGGCTGCCCATACTAGCACGAAACTCATTCGGCCGCCGTTCGGAACCCAAATATCACGCCGCGGGGTGCTTCCGAAATTGGCCTGATAAATTTTCTTCGCTTCTTCAAGAAGTATAGCCAGCTATGTGGTTCATATGCTACTGGAACTTTGGATGCTCAGATCAGTGAATAATAAATAAATTTCACGGTTCGCGTGAGACTCGGCTGGAAGCCGAGTTTTCCGCATCCGCCGTGGGAACGCCACCACCCTCTAGGATCAAAGGCGCAGATGCAGCGCCTAGACGGTGGGAGGTGAGTAGATCAGACCCGCCACCAAGTGGTCAAAGACCGAAATCCCATTTATGATTAGCTGCATCCATGTCAGTGAATCAATGATTATTATTATTATTGTGAAAAGAAGAAGGACAAAATGTTACGAGTTATGACTAACTAATATCAAAAAGTATTCTTTCTAGACCAAAGAGTGGTATATTTGATAACATTTAATAACGATAGAAATTTTTACGATACTTCTCCAGACGTTTCGTTGTTCTGAACAACATCGTCAGTGGATAAAGAATGGAGGGCTTTGGGTGGTAGCATGGGTTAATAGGGAGTGATGGTGGTGAGATGAGGTGAGGTGAGAAGGTGAAGGTGGGAAATACATGTATCTAAGTTAATGGTGAAGGTTAGGTGCGGGTCGATACAGGTGGGAAGGGGTACACCCTTCGGGTAGAAGTGTAGGTTGGTAGAAGGTGTTGGTGTGCGTAGAAGGTGGAGTGGCGTAATGGAAGTGTCGGGTTGATAAATGTGGGAGAGAGTCTAGGTAGGGTGTGGATCAGCAATAGGTGTTGGTGTATGTGGTGGGTAGAATTGGCAAGAGGTGTGTGTGTGTGTGTGTGTGTGTGTGTGTGTGTGTGTGTGTGTGTGTGTGCGTGCGAAAAAGAGTAAGGTAGTGAGTATTGGTATGCGTGGAAGGAAGATGTGACAGAAGGTGTGCGCTATAGGCAAGGGGTGCAGGAATATTTTGAGGTGGTAGGTGGGACTAAAACAGGAGGTTGTGATTCATCTAGTGATATATATAGTATCAGCAATAGCAGCAGTATATACAAAGAGGTGTGTGTGTGTATGCGTGTGGATTTGCAAGCTTTTTGGTAGTGTAGTGTGTTGGGGGGGGGGGGGAGAGCACCGGGTGCGGGTGTTCTTCTTCTATTGCAATCATTTTTGGTTGGGTTGGCAGATAGTGGATGGTGGTAGGCAAGTTATGCCAAGAATCCAGTTCCCATATCTTCTTTTCTTCTGTTGATAGTTGGTTTCTTGTCGCGAATGGCATATGCCTCACGGATCCGGAGCCTCAGCTCATCCCTCTCCGTGAGCTGAGCAACCTCGTACATAATCTCTGGGGTGGCGTTCGGGTGTTCCCTAGCGTAGTGCACACCGAATGCAGACTTCTTGTCATGAGATTTTGCAGCATTTGTGTGCTCTTGGGCCCGGGTGTGCACTTGCCTCCCAGTCGAGCCGACGTATCTCTCGTGACAAAGGTGGCATGTAGCTTCGTACACGGCAAATCTGCAGGTGCATTTCTTCCTGAACATAGGGCATTCGCGCATTCTGCATTTTTCCGGTTCTCCTTTTTTCTTCGTGAGTTCTTGGATGGTTGGGGGTCGAGGGTTAACGAGGCGTGCCGTTATGCCGTTTTTCTTAAGTGCCTGTCGTACTTGGCCGTTAACCTTGTCGGAGATGTACGGTATTCTAAATACCAGTTGTTTCCCTTTTGTTTGTTTACTTGTGTTTCTTCTTCGGGCTCGCGCTTTGATGATGTGTTCTGCAGAGTAGCCGTTCCCTGCAAGTTTATCTGAGATGAGGCGTCTGGCTTCCTCCGCAAACTCAGGCGTGCTGTTGTCTTGTGCTCGTTTGTATTCATTGTTAATGACCGCCATCTTAACCGCCGTTGGATGGTGGGAATCTGCGTGTAGTGTTATCCCTTTGTTTGCTTCTTTTACATAGAGCTTGTGTGCGACTTTGCCGTCAGGAAGAATCTTTAGTCTGATATCCAGGATTGGTAGGAAACCATCTTTGTCCGGCAACTCCAGTTCAAACTTGATTGTCGGGTGTTTTCCGTTGAGTTTGGTCAGTAGAGATTGTGCTTCCGCAGGAGTGTCAACTGCGGTTCCCGAGTCGTCTACATAGCGAACGAACACTGGCAATGGCGGCGAGATGTTTCTGTAAATGTGGCGCTGTTCAAAGCGGTCCATGACGATGATGGCTATTGTGCCGCTGAGTCTGCTGCCCATCGCCAATCCCCTTGTCTGTTTGAATGTTCCAAGGGTTGGGTGTTGGAACACGTTGTTATATAGAATCAGCCCGAGTAGCTCTTTTAGGTCGACCGGTGTGAGGGA